TGCTTCTGAGGGTGCCATTTAAACATACACGTTAGAACCACTACTAGGGGAATGGGAAACTTACGGAAACAAAACACGATTTGGACCAATTAGTTTGGTAATATAGCCTCAATGAAATGGTATCGGAGAAGCTGTAGCAGAGAAATTGTTTTGGCACGCAGTTTTGGCAGTACCGTAGCACGGACCAATCCTCCTGCATTTGAGCGTTGGAAAATGCTACGACTGAAGCCTCCGAATTCCTGACATACTGCCACGTTTCGAAGAGAGGAGTAAACCTCCGGATTGTCCCTTAGTGTCTCCTAACCTCAAGGATGATTATTTTCATCGTCAGATTATAGGGTCTTGCCTTGGGATGCGCCAGGGGAGCCTGTGCACCACATTTTGTAAGTTCTGCTTCTGTAGAACATCGAGGCTAAAGACTGCTTACTAAACTAAAGCCTGGCCTCCACCGAGCACGACCTTGGCATCACGCTATGCTCTTACATTCTGCTCCTCCTTCTAGCAATTCAGCTCTGCATTTATTTGGGAAGATGCTCTCTCAAGAGCTGCTGGAGCAATAGGCAATGTTGCACCTACCCTGAAATCCTAAATGAAAGACAAACACAGTAATCTATAACTCTGGAGACGTATAAAATATTAAGCGCTTGGAAATCACACTATATAATTGAAATGAGATGGAAAATGACTAATGGAAACAGCCAGCTTTAGAGTGGGTGTAATCATTTTTTAGACTTTTGTTATTGCATATAAAATAAAAACACTGTTGGGGGCACAAATTACAGAAAATATTGACTCAAGATAGATAACTTTGCAAAATATTTGTCACCCACTGCTGTTTGTAACTAAGCAAGGGTTACTAATTGCATTGGTATTATATTATTGATTCAATAGCGAAGACAGAAAAGACTTGAAGTGCCTTCTTGTTAATTATACACCACCTATTGAAGCCAATGGAAAAAAGACATCATCTGACATTGACGATCTTGGGCGCGCAGCTCCGACTGCTAGATTCAAGGCAGAACCGCACTGCTTCACAACATTTAATAGAGAGGAAACCTAGGGTATTTGCCTGGATGTCTCCACGCTGAGCACAGCAATAGGAAATACTATGAATAGCTCGGCAAGACACACAAATAAACATCAGCAATATCTTCAAAACAGGATGTTTTACAGCTGCTGGCACTGAGAAGGCAGGCTTACACCCATCACCTGCTTAACCCAGCGCTCCACTGAAAGCTCTTCAGGAGTAATTAGACCCAGCTATGCTGCAAAACTGAAACTTCTCCAACTGCCGCCGGATGGAACACATTCCTCTCCCGTGTGTTTTCTCATTGTTTCCCTTGCAAAAAAAGATTTGTATTTATGATGCAAACGAGATCTCTCTGTGGACAATAAAAAAGGATTACAGCCATCTTGGAGGGAAAGGGAGACTACACTTGCAAAACAGCGGTTTGTCTGAGGCCCTAAACCATAAGGTCATTGCAGAAAAGGCAAAATAAACTTGTTCGGTCAGGCTGCCAGCTGGTAGTAACATAGTTGCAAGCTTGCTCTGCTCCACTGCACCCACCCTGAACATGCTAGATGCAGCAGGCACTGGAAATGCACTGTTGCTCTAACGCTAACCATCTCAAATACGTGTGTGTGTGTGTATTTTTACACACACATATATACATATATACAGAGAAAACACCTAGCATGTCCTGGTCACTAAAAAGGATTTTTTGTAAGAAAGAGTTCCCAGAACCTATGGACACATGCTCACACACACACAGACACCGTCACCTGCAGAACAAATGGCTATTGACCACAGAAGGACAATTAAAAGGTCTCATGCAACCTGTGTTTACAACTTTCCCCTCACATAAAAGCATAATATTAAGAACAAATAAATATATTGCATTTTCCTATGTTCAAAGCATCGAGATGCAACTAGCAAAATGCTATTCAGAGGCTGCATGCTTTGGGGAGCTCCAATTTCAGAATAAGATACAGAAAATCTTCATATTCTGTGAACTTACAGCTTTGTTTTGGCTGAACTGTCCAGATAGCACAGTCAGTTCCTGAATACGTTCATCTCGGAAAACAATAATGAGGTATGGGATTGCAATATGAAAAAAAATAGCGATTTCATGTAATTGGCGTGCCTTTCTTCTCTACAAAAGGAAACCACCACGTGACAGATGTTAACTTGTGGTGTGTGTCCGCGGAAGAGCTAGAATAAACAAGTGACAAGATGCGCTGGTGCTATGCACGGCAAGATCTCCCTGAGCCAGAGAAACGGGTAGAAAGGTCCCACAAGCACACGAGAATACCGCAAGAGAAACCTGTGTATGCACACACACGTCCACACGAGTCCCCAGTGTTGTATGACAGCGTGACAGCAGACCGGTGAGCAGGCCACACATCGGGAAGCTGTTGCTGATGACCACGCTCAATGTACCCCCATTGCTCTCCACCTGCCGCCTCTTCGGTAATTTATCACGCCCCTTACGCCGCGCTCCAGTCATCGACCTCTGATGTCAAACACCCTTAAGGTGACAAACTAAGGCCGGCTCCCCCGGTCCAGCCGCCCGGAGGTGTCCCCCGCTCCAGACGACACCGTGA